GTTAAGGCATGAGGAGCTGAGCACCCTCATCAGGGTGGTGGAAGTACACGAAGAGAGAAGATAATATATATAAGAGAAAATTTCCAAAGGTAGATAGGACTTGGCAACTGATTGGATATGGAGGATGAGAGAGGAAGGAGTCAAGGATGATTACTAAGTTGTGTGTCTGAGTATCTGAGAGGATGGTGGAGTCCTAGACAGTAATAAAGAAGTTAGAAAGACAGGAGGATTTAGGGGGAAAGATAATGAGTTCACTTTCAGACATGTTAAGTTTATGTTGCCTATGAGACATTCAGTTTGAGATTTTCAGCAGACCATTGGAGATGTGAGAGTAGAGGTTAGGAAACAAAAACACCTTTTACAATATGTGGAAACTAGCAAAGGCTGTAGTATTTTTTCTTGCCTATATTTCTTTTCTCTCTCTCTTTTTTATATTAATTCCTTTTGTTTATTATGCCACAAGCATTTCTCTTTTTTTGATATAAATTTATTTATTTTTAGTTTTCAACATTTACTTCCACAAGATTTTGAGTTCCAAATTTTCACCCCATCTAGTCCCTCCCCCAAATCCAAGATGGCATGCATTCTGAATACCCCTTCCCCTAGTCTGCCCTCTCTTCTATCTCTCCCCTCCCCTTCTCTTATCCCCTTCCCCTTCTATTTTCCTGTAGGGCAAGATAGACATCCGTACCCCATTTCCTGTATTTCTTATTTCCCAGTTGCATGTGAAAACTTTTCTTTAAACTTGTTTTTAAAACTTTGGGTTCCAAATTTTTCACCCTTCCTCCCTCCCCACCCACCCTCATTGAAAAGGCAAGCAACTCAATATAGGTTGTACATGTGCAGTTATGCAAAACACTTCCATAATAGACATGTTGTGAAAAACTAACTCTATTTCCCTTAATCCTATCCTGCCCTCCATTTATTCTGTTCTTTCTTTTGACTCTGTTCCTCCTCAGAAGTATTTGCTTCTGATTACCCCCTTTCCCAATCTGCCCTCTTCTCTGTCATCCCCCTGCTCTCTTGTCCCCTTCCCCACCTATTTTCCTGTACGGTAAGATAGATTTCCATACCCAATTGAATGTGCATATTATTCCCTCCATAAGCCAAATCCTATGAGAATAAGATTCATTCATTCCCTCTCACCTTCCCCCATTTCCCCTCCACTGTAAGAGCCTTTTCTTTTGGTGAGATAATTTACCCCATTCTACCTCTCCCTTTCTTCTTCTCCCAGTATCATCCTCTCTCATCCCTTAATTTTATTCTCCAGATATGACCCCTTAATCTTCAACTCACCCTGTGCCCTCTATCTATCTATCTATCTATCTATCTATCTATCTATCTATCTATCTATCTATCTATCTGTCTGTCTGTCTGTCTATCTATACATACATACATATAATTTTTTTCCTTCAACTACCCTAATACTGACAAAGTTGTCATGAGTTATAAATACCATCTTTCCATGCAGGAATGTAAACAGTTCAATCTTAATAAGTCTCTTATGATTTCTCTTTCCTGTTTACCTCTTCATGTTCCACTTGAGTCTTGCATTTGAAAGTCAAATTTTCTATTCAGCTCTGGTCTTTTCATCAAGAATGCTTGAAAGTCCTCTATTTCACTGAATGACCATTTTTTCCCCTGAAGGATTATACTCAGTTTTGCTGGGTAGGTGATTCTTGGTTGTAATCCTATCTCCTTTGCCCTCCAGAATATTATATTCCATGCCCTGTGGTCCTTTAATGTAGAAGCTGCTAAATCTTGTGTTATCCTGATTGTGTTTCCACAGTACTTGAATTGTTTCTTTCTGGCAGCTTGTAATATTTTCTCCTTGACCTGGGAACTCTGGAATTTGGCTACAATATTCCTAGGAGTTTTCCTTTGGGGATCTCTTTCAGGAGGAGATTGTGGATTCTTTCAATTTCTATTTTGCCCTCTGGTTCTAAAATATCAGGGCAGTTTTCCTTGATAATTTCTTGAAAGATGATGTCTAGGCTCTTTTTTTGATCATGGCTTTCAGATAGTCCAATAATTTTTAAATTCTCTCTCCTGGATCTATTTTCCAGGTCAGTTGTTTTTCCAATGAGATATTTCACATTGTTTCTATTTTTCATTCTTTTGGATTTGTTTTACAGTGTCTTGATTTCTCATAAAGTCACTAGCTTCCAATTGCTCCATTCTAATTTTTATGGAAGTATTTTCTTCAGTAATCTTTTGGACTTCCTTTTCCATTTGGCCAATTTTTCTTTTTAGGGCATTCTTCTCCTTATTGGCTTTTTGGACCTCTTTTGCCATTTGGATTAGGCTATTTTTTAAGGTGTTATTTTCTTCAGTATTTTTTTGGGTCTCCTTTAGCAAGCTGTTGACTTGTTTTTCAAGGTTTTCTTGCATCACTCTCATTTCTCTTCCTAGTTTTTCCTCTACTTCTTACTTGCTTCTCAAAATCCCTTTTGAGCTCTTCCAAGGCCTGGGACTGGTTCATATTTTTCTTGGAGGCTTTGGATGTAGGAGCTTTGACTTTGTTGTCTTCTAGTTGTATATTTTGATCTTCTTTTCACCAAAATAAGATAATGTAGTCTGACTCTTTTTGCACTGCTTGCTCATGATTATAGCCAGTTACTTGAGTTTTAAACTCTTTGTTAAGGTAAGGGTCTGCTTCCAATGTGGAGAGTGTACTGTCCCAAGCTTCAGGGGTTTATACAGCTGTTTTCAGAGATACTTTTAGGGACCTGTAAATTTTCAGTATTTGCAAGGTGGTGTGATAAAGGGCGAGGTGTTTACTCCCTTCCTGGCCTGTGCTCTGGTCTGTTAGTGACCACAAGCACTCTTTTCTGTCCTGGAACTGTGAGGAAGGTTTCCTGTCCACAGCCACTACAAGATCCACTGTGCCAGCGCTCCTCCTCCCCTCAGGAACAGCTGCCCAGAGCTGTGACCCAGATCTAAGCATGGGCAAAGCAAGAGATTCCTGCCTCAGCACTGGCAAATAGATCCCTGAAATCCCCCTCTGATCAACAACTTGATTCTCCCTCAGTTTGTGGGCCTGAAGCTCAGGATGCAGCCACCGCCCTGGTGCTCTGCGCTCTGGAACTGGCTCTGACCTAGCTCCTCTCTCGGCACCGCAGAAACAGAGTTTTCCCACTGAACTTCTAAGCTGTCTTTGGTGTTTGTGGGTTGAGAGGTCTGGAAGCCACCACAGCTGCCTGAGATGCAGTCCTCTGAGTCCTGCTCCAGGTTCATTGCAGCCTGCACACCCATGCCACACTGTGATCCTTTACCCTCTCGGCATGATATACCTTTCTGATCAACCATCCAGGTTGTCTTAGGCTGGAAATTTGTTTCACTCTTTTTGTGGGTTCTGTTCTTTAGAGCCATTTTTTATAGGTATTTGGAGGGGTTTGGGGGAGAGCTCAAGTAAGTCACCGTTTTCACTCAGCCATCCTGGCTCTGCCCCTCTTGCCTATATTTCAAAGACTTCCTGATACTATGGAAAATTTTGTAAGTATCTGTGTCAATTGAAAATTATGTAGATTGATCCATTGATGCACTTGGTTAATATATCTGGGCAGAATCACAATTAATATTGGAAATGGTGGAATGAGACTATCACATTGCCCTTAGAAGTTTTCATCTTATAATTTCTGAGGATAAATCTCACAATATCCCAGTACTTACCAACATGTTTCATACTTCATTTGTCTTTTGTATAAACTGAGAAAGTATCCAATCATGTTGCATAACATTACAGTTTCAGTGACAAGAAGTAGGTCTATATCCTAATCTAGTTGAAAAATCCAATCAAATATGAACGTGTTCTCACTTGCTTACCCTGAAATGACTTTACCGTATGCCATGGGAATATTACTCTCTATGTGTAAACCCATAAAATTTATAGCTGTGGTCCTATTTATTTTTAACCTATATGTATATATATGTATGTATGTATATCTATCTATTTGTATCAGTAATAGATTCACAAAATATTGGAACTAGAAGGAACTTCTAGTTCTAGTACCTAATCATTTTCTGTGTGAGGACATTATATTTATTCATAGACATGTGCTCCAGGAAAAGTGTCTGCAAATTTTTTTTATTTCTAATTTTTTATAAAAAACACAGCATTATTCACAGTAAGATATTTAATTCATGTTTTCAATTGTGATGAAAAAGCTTGAAAAGTAACAATGAGCTTTTAAAAAGGAAAAATAAGGGCCCCAAAGCAAAGAAACTGTTACTTTTTTTTTCCTGTTTGAATTCTTGGGTGTCCTATTTCCTCCTGTCCATGAATCTTCTTTTGGTTCCTCTATCCTCCTTTGGTATCAAAGAATTGATTAATAAGAATTAGAGATGGCAGATACTAACAGTTTTGTGGAGGTATCAATTATACTTTTCCCCTACTGGATGATATTCATCTATATTAATTATTTTATATCTCTGTGTGAATGGATAAAACCAAAGTTACTTAGCTTTTTGTCTTTTGTGTCCTAGCTATTTTGTCTTGTAAATTGTTATGTACTTCAACATAATAATGGAGAATTATGTTGGGTAAAGGAGCCTTGTTTTATTAAAGATGCATTTGAGGGAGACATTACTACCACTAGTATAAAAATGTGATTAGCTGTAATATCTTTTTGTCATATTTTAGAGACATACTTAGCACAAAAATGTACTATTTGGGAATTTGGCTAAGAACCTAATGATATGAATAAATCAGTTGTTAGTTTACAGGAATGAGAAAGTACTTTATTATCTTGTTTTTATTTGCTGCATCAAAACTGGAAACTAAGTGCATCTGTATCTGTGTGTAAGAGTGTCTGGATGGTACAGTGAAGCAACGGGGTAAACTTCTATTTCATTGTGGTGACATCTCAAATATGTGCTTGCCTTCAAGGCCATTAAGAGAGAGTGACTGAATTTTATGAGCTTTCTTTTTCCACCTGCCTGTAATAGAGCTTATGAAGAATCAAAAGAAAAATCTGCCCTAGTGTTTGTTTACTTTATAGGCTCTCACAAGGATGAAATAGCCCTAATGAATGGCCTGACAGTTAATTTGCATCTCCTACTGGTAAGTTTGCTTTCCCAACAATCTTTAAATACATTTTTGATTCCTGAATCTGATGTTTCTTTATCTTTAATTCATGAACTTGTGGTGGTGTATTTATTTTTAATAAGTTGCTAGATTATTTTCAATCTTACCAGAAAATGATAGATCATGATATAGTGTCTTTTTCATAATCATAAGCTTTTAAGGGCCTTGAGATCAAGATCAATTTTTGTTCAGAGCATAAGGAATAAGAGCTATAGCAGCAGTAAAAGGAAACTACTCTTAAAGAATACACAAAACCAAATTTTTTTTTAAATTATAGGAGATACAGATCTCTTCTGTTGCAGAAATTCATCTTTTAATACTGCTTCCTATGAAGAACACAAATCAATTGGCATCATGGATTGGTATTTTGGAGGTTATGTTTAGGTGTGAAGGGAAAGACATTAATGAAAAATGAACAAAGCAAATCTGATACTTTAACATCCAAAATATTCATAGGTATTTTTGATTTGGGATCCGTCAGTAGCTTAACATTTCTGAAAATTTGTACCATCCATTATAAGTATTTTTGCATGCACCTACCTATACACACATTTGACACACTTTTTAAAATTAGATTTTTTTCCAATTTTTTCTAAATTAACTTTTACCAGTGACTTTTAAACTTCAGAATCATTTCCCAATATGCTATTGCAATGGTTTTTTCTTTGTAACTATATAAGTATATAAACATATTTATATACAAAACCTAATGAATAAAGCAATTGAATTTGTCAGAATATGCATCATTCTACTCCCAGAGGTCCCCCACCTCTCTGCCTAGAAGAAAGACAAGTGTTTTCTTCTGGGACCACAGTTGATCACTGCAATGAAAAGGAGTTCAATAACATTTTAGCATTATTTTTGTTTATGTTATTGTTTTAATAGGACTAAATGGAGAAATAAAAAGGTTAGTGTCATTGAGGAAATATGACTGTAATATACATACACCCTAGTCCTCCTAGAAGTTGTTCCTCCAGAAATGAAGGATACGCATTGCAAAGTAAAACTGATTATGAATCATGGGACAATAAATGACAATAACTTTATGGCAGGTCTAAGGGAACTTCAAAGAAGCCTGAAAATTAGCTGAAGCCTTAGAAACAAAAAACAAAAACAAACACACAAAAAAGAAACAAACCCAAGCAAATGAAATGAAGTTGGTAAACTGAAAATAATGAAATGTATTCAAAGTTTCTCTTATAGAACATGATGTTAAAGAGTCCTTAACTAGAAAGTTCTACCATTTAATGAAGATGAAAGCACTGGCAATCAAATTTCAGTAAAATTTATATTTTATTTATTTTTATATTCATTTATATTTAATATACATATTTATTTATATTTCATAAATATAAATAAATATTTATTTATATTTTAATTACATTATTACTTCTTCCCATGTTTCTATTTTCATGGTGACAATCAAGTTCTCATCTTTTTTAATTCTGAAGTTCAATTAATTTATGTTTGTAAAATGTTTGGAGATTATAAGATAAAAATTATAAAGGGGTTGAATTTACAAGTCTTATTAATGTCTTGTTCAATAAATCCATTTTGTTTCAGTTATCATTTTTTAAACCTACACCAACACGATTTAAAATTCTTCTGGAAGCCAAAGCTTTTCCCTCTGATCATGTAAGAAACTTTTAAAAATTATGTACGAATATTTATATTACTTTTCCTCTTTCTTGAGAACATCAATTGCCTGACTTGAATGTTTATTCACTAGTCTTTTTCAAGAAACCTTACAATAAAAAGATCTGTCAAGTACTTTTGATTTAGGCATTTTTTAAAGATTGTAGCTTTATTCCTTTTGTTCAAGTAAAACATGTGTTAAGGGAGGAAAGACTGAATAGAGGCATTGATTTATTAGTCTTTTTAAAGACATTGAACAAACCACTGGCCTAAATCAACTGAAGTTACAAATGTTTTATTAATTTTCTTTGTTGTTTTATTTTATCAAATCAAGTCAATACAAACCTCATTGCTTTAACCCTTCAGTCTCCCACAACAGATATAGGTGTCTTTTCATAGCTAGCTAGAAAATGTTTGTGCTATATTTTATGAAAAAAGTCAGTTTAAAAAAAACACTTAATTTTCAGATATATAGTTCACTGATATGCTCCTGCTATTGCCACCAATTTATTCAACTCTTAGAAGTTCTTGGAACTTTAAAGATAACATAAAATAGAAACCAAGATTTTTTCAACCCAGATACTAAATAAATTTTAGTTTTATCATTTAGTATGCTTGATTTCTGCTTTTATATCATTGAAATTATAATTCTGGATGAACTATTTTGTGTATTTAGTGTTCTCTGTTGAAAAGTTAGGAAATACTTGGTTTCTTACACTGCCCCAGTATTAGTAGCTATTTAAGTAATGATAGGCAAGTTACTTAATCTCATAGCCTTAGTTTCAGTCAATCAACAAAAATTTGTTATGTGCCTGCCCTAGTACAGGCATCATGTTGTTCTTTCTTATATGGTTGTATGAATATCACATGTGATAATTACTCTCATTTGTGAATAATTTTAAGTTTTGGAAACTTCATTCTTCACAATAGTTCTTTGAGTTCAGAAGTTCAAGTATTATCTCTTATTTTACAAATGAGGAAATGGCTTCTGCGATGTTAACTGATGGTTAACATGACCATGGTTCCAAAACTAGTAAGTGTGTGAGGCAGGATTTCAATACTGCTCTACCTACTCCAGGTCTCATATGCTTGATCCATCACTTCATATTGCCTCTAAGATCAGGCACATAAAACACTTTGTAGACCTTACAGCTCTCAATGAATTTTCTACTATTATTATTGTTGTTGCCAAATTCATAACTGCACTCTTAGCGGTGGTGACTTTAGTGCCCAGGCTGCATATTTTGAGAGACTCCAGCTTCTAGAAGGTTTTGTCCAACAATTTCCAGCCAGGACATACCAGAGGCCTTGGCCTTAATCTGTTTATCTATTAACCATTTTCATTTCTAACTTTCCTACATCATGATAACCATTACTTTCTTTTTAAAGTTTTAAATAGGAGGGAGGAAACACAAGGGATTATAGCAAGTATATCTTGACATACTAAGTGATTCTGACAAAGTAGTTGAGATATAATAGTCCCTTTGTTTACTCATCTCACAGGGTTATTGTAAGGCTGAAATTAAATATTGTAAGTAAAAAGCTTTGCAAACTTTAAACCACTACATAAATGTCAATTACTAATATTATTAAGATAATTATATGCAAATCATATGACATGAAAGGATTCAATTATTTATCATCCTTTGGTTATTTCCAATGAATAACTTGCCTATTGAATAAATTTTGTTTCAGATGGACTTTTTCTTTTAATAATATAGTATTCCTGGTATATATTGTTCTTGTATCAATCATTCCAACAGTAATCTTTTTTTAAATGCTTCTTATGTGCTGGGCACTCTGCTAGATTCTGGGAATGCAAACACATGAACAGTTTTTGCATTAGAAAGACAATATTCTGATGAGCAGATACATCATATACAGAGTTAAGTAAATAAAAGATACAAAATAGAGAGGTGGAATAAGGATAGGAAATAAGCATTTATATAGAACCTACTATGTGTCAGGTACTATGCTAGGTGTTTTTTTTTTCAAATAGGAGGAGGAGGAAGAGAAAAAGGAGGAGGAGAAATGAGAGAAAGTTGAAAAAGTTGGGGATTACAGACTACTTTTCTTAGTACTTTGGCTGTTAGAGGGAAGAGAGACATAGCACAATAACTTGAGGTACTGGTAAAGTCCAGGTATTTTAACATTTGAGGGAGATCTGGGAAAGTTTATAGACAGTGGAGAGGGAGTTTTGGATAAGGAGAGGTTAAAAATTAGGGTAAGCAAAAATTATTGAAAGGATGAATTATCAGAGGAGACAAGATGGTCTAAGATCAAGGAGAACACAAGTAGAAGGGTTGATGTTGGCAGTAACCCTCTTAGTCTCCAAGATTGTCATAAATAGGAAAGAATGGGGGATGATATTGAAGTAAGGGATTGGGGAGGAGAAGAAGCTGGTCATGGAGGGCCTGATTTTTTTCTGTGAAATGTGGTGCAAGGGCCTCTGATCAAAGTGAGTCTGGCTTTTTTTTTTAAATAGATCTACAAGGGACTTTAGTTTTGAGATAATCCAGAGTCTAGACCCTAGACCAACTCCTACATTTACAGATAAGAAAACAGAGATGATGTCATTTGTCAACCTTACATAGCTAGTTATGGGCAAAGTCAAGATCAAAACTGAGGTCTTCTGACTCCCAGTCCAGTGCTCTTTGCACTATGTATTTCTCACACACCTAGAATTATTTCTTTACTATAGGAGTAGTGCAATAATAATTTCTATTTTACTGATGAGGAGACTGAAACTCAATCAGAGTTCTTTCCATTATACCATGTTGTCTCTCTGGTTCATGTTATTCACTGTAATCAAACTGAAATCTTTCTTGGCTTTTACAATAGCTGACATCCGTGTATTTTGTTAAAGTATATTAAATGATCCGTTACTTCATTTGAGCTTCACAACAATGATCTAAAATAGATAGTGCAGGTATTATCCTCATTATATAGATGAGGAAAATGAAGCTCAGAAGTGTTAAACTATTTCTTGACATCCATTAAGTGCCACAGGTGGGGTTTAAGCCTAGACATTACTGACTCCAAGTATTATATTTTCATCCATTGCACCTATCTAGCTTTAGAATTTCATCATTCAGTGAGATCTATATAGCTATAGATTGGGTCGGGGTGGTGGTTGTGTGGATTTGATTGGCAATCTACTCTTAAAATCATTGTTCCCTCTCTTTTCCTCATGTTGGCTCCAATTTAATTAGCCATCCTTCTTTTCCCCCCAGTATGCAATTGAGTCACAACTGCAGCTTCGTGGGCTAGATATTGAAAAAAGCATGCTGATGATAAAACCAAGACAGGTGTGTAAGAAAGAACTGTTTAGAATTTATTTTCAGTATTTTTGTGATTTAACTGATTCTTCATTACTCCTCCTATTTGTTTTACATTAATAGAACTTACAAAGAAATAAAATCATCCTGTAATATTGTTATCTTTGAGAATTTTCCTTTAAGTAGGAAATTGGAAGTAATGACTTTTAAACTTTCTTTTCAATGGCATTCAGTAATATAATTTAAATATTGATCTATTAATATCACTAGAATATTTAGCATCCTTGAAATAGGGGTCAATTACATGCAAGTCTTAGAATTCTAAATATTGATTATAATATATACTATTGAAAGGGGGAAGAGGAATAAGCATTTGTTAAGGGTTGGCTTTGGGCCAGGCAAGGTAGGTGCTATTATTATCCCTACTTTACAGTTGAAGAAATTGAGGCAAACAGCGTGTGAAGCCTTGTAACATTCAGTCACTATATACACATCCTAATTGTCACTCCTGTTATCTCTTAAATTTAAAACCAAACATTTTTCTACCTCCTTAGATCTGATAACTTTGTCTTTTGACAAGAAATAAGTCATATCAAAGGAAGATAAATTTTTCACCTTCTAAACATCTAAACATCCAGCTGTCAACTTCGCCATAGTCTATTCATATGGCTGTGCTTTAAAAGGTGCTTTGAGGGGCAGCTAGGTGGCGCAGTGGAAAGAGCACTGGCCCTGAAATCAGGAGGACCTGAGCTCAAATGCGGCTTCAGACCAAACACTTGACACTTACTAGCTGTGTGACTCTGGGCAAGTCACTTAACCTCAATTGCCAAAATAAATAAATAAATAAATGAAAGGAGCTTTGAAATGCAAGCCCTACTGTTTGTATTCTTGAATCAACCTATTGCTAAGACACATATGCTGTATAATATTTTTTAAAAGAAATACAAGTTCTGCTGCTGTGGATTGGTAACATGACCCAAGGTTAAAAGAAACTGAGCTCATTATAGTTACATACCCAAATTAATGTGCCATTTTGTCTGAATCAGTGGTCATTTTCTCTTTAAGTTTCTAAGGTATGTTTTAGGGTCTAAAGACTCAAAGAAAGGCCTATTCTACTAATTTCTGCTTAATATCATAAAAAAAAATTATTCACCAGAGTTCACAAGATTATAGACATTGCTTTTGACAAATTTTCAGTGAAATGACGTTGATCATTGTATGACTGACCAGTTTTGATATATGTAACAATCAGAGACAGTATGGTATAATGGATAGAGTGCTGGATTTAGAGTCAGGAAGATGGGGGCCCAATCGTACTTCTGACGTGACCCTGAACAAGTCACTTGACCTCTGTGGACCCATGATCTCTATCAATGGAAGAAATTATCTTTTCCACATCAAGAATTCTCCAGAAAGACAAAATTGCATAACATGTTTGCTTCCTTATATAATAATTCATGGCAGAAATGGAAGTATACAGATTTTCATATTATAAGCTCTAAAACCACAAGAGACAAACCATAGCAAACTGATGGTCTTTCATAAACTAACAAAGATCCTTGATACATTCATCAAAAACCTGATCTAGAAAAAGTGAGAGAACACTACGCTTTTTAAAAAAAATTGTTGAAGACGTTGTGAGTTATGATTAGATAAATTAAGCATTTTCACAGATAACATTTCCATTAAATTTTGCATTGATATATTCCTACAATTTTATAAAACTAAAATTTTGTTTTAAATTTTTATAAATTTTATAACCAAGGATCTTTACATAGCTACTTAATTATAATCATCTTATTGATAACAACTGATAAACTCACCTAATGACTCTTGAGACCAGGCCCAAGTCAGTTTGAGAGGAAAAGAAATAACCTCTGAAGTTTTGATAAAGGTGTCAGTATGGCTAAGATGTTCAGACTTAAATTCAATTCAACTGGTTTCACCCCAACTCTTTTGCATTACCTAATTAATTTTATTCAAAGTTTTCACCAACTTAATTAGTCTATAGATAATGGCCTGTTTTATAGTATTTTTTTCCTGGGTGGAGACTGAAGAAAAAGCCTACTAGGATGAATAAAACATGAAATGGTTGTACGTGTGGATATTCCATGTTATTTTGTGGGCTTGGTGGATAAATTTCTGTAGCTCATTTGACTGAGAAAAATTCACTTTTGATCTTCTTATGTAGGCACCTAGATCACAATAAAATGTAGATTATGAAATAAGAAATGACAGTTTCGTTATTGCTAAGATTGGTATGCTCACTTTATTTTAGGGAGAGGACACCTTAAGAATGGAAGATATCCTTGAGGTAATTGACAAGGAAGGAGACTCTGTTGCTGTGATCTTGTTCAGTGGAGTGCAGTTCTACACTGGGCAACTGTTTGACATACCTGCCATCACAAAAGCTGGACAAGCAAAGGTAGATAAAGACCTTTCCCATTGGTTTTTTGTTTGTTTGTCTGTTTGCACTGAATGTTGTCAATCTAAGGAGTATTCTATCACTTTTAATGAAATACATTTTGTTGTTTATTTGGCAAAATGTTTTTAAGAGGTGTGCTTAAGAGTAGTATAAGAAAAACAGTTCTTCATAAATCTTTCCCCAAATCATATTACTCCTTGTTTTAAAACTGGATATATTCAAACATGTTTTAGCCATGATCTATAGCCTCCCTCCCTCACTAGCAGCTGCTATCACAGCATTTTGCCTATAGTTAGCAAGACAGGTGAGTTCCCTGTAGGGGTGATATCATTTGTATGCAGCTGAAAAGGAACAGGAGACAAACAGAATGCTGAGTATTACCACCTACTAGATGTGACTGCCTTTGAGTCAACTCCGCTACTTTTTTGGTGGCATGCTAAAAATTTGCTATTGAATGTATTTTGGGGTCTTCTTTTATTTGGATGCTTGCCTTGGGTACCTAGAAAAAAGTAGAGTCAATTAAATTTTGTTAACAGCAGGAGATAGTTTGATAGTTTGATAGATAACTATAAAAGTATAATAAATTATTAAGTAAAGATAATATTTTCTTAATTCAGGCATAATATTTTATGTACCAAAGTAAAGGAAGGCCTTTAACCAGCTTGTTAATGTAACCCTTTATCTGTTCTAAGAAAGTCAAGACAGTATACTGTCTCTAAAGAGGTTACAAATTTACAATATGACAATTGAATTATTAAGCATTTGGCGGCTTAGTATTTCTCTATGTGTGTGCATGTAAAGGGAAAACAATATCCTTAGCATTCATTTGACTGTAAAATGTGCATATTGTCAGACTAGCAATGGTAAGTAGAGCTACAGTTTGTATCCAAAGTATTGAAATAACTGTCACTCATTAGCAGTTCATAATCTTAGAGAGTTGCAGAGCGCACTGAGAGGATAAATTATTTGCCCATGTTATGCATCTAGTATTAGTCAGAGGGTAGGATTTAAATTCAAGTCTTCCACACACAAAGGCTAGTCATTTATCTACTATGCATTATTGTATCCCATGGCTAATAGTAATAATAGTAATTCCTAACATTTATATAGCTCTTAAGTTTTGCAAAGTAATTTGTATATTGTATTTGATCTAATCTTCATAGCCCTATAATGTGGGTGCTGTTATTATTCCCATTTTGCTGATGAGGAAACTCAAGGTGAGAAAGGTTAACTGACTTGTCCAAGATCACACAGGTTGTAAGAGTGTGAGGAAGGTTATGAACTCATATCTTCCTTACTCTGTGTCCATCCCTTATATCACATGTATCCTCTAATTTTCCCACTTTAAGCAGAGCAATTAAACCCGAACCAAACTATTTCAACAATCGATATTCAGCTATTTTTAATGATAACAAATTGTATCTGAACATTATTAAGTGATAAAATTAATATCTGTGTTAAGCCTACTTAACATAGTCAGTCCCTAAAACTAATGAATGGAACTAATGAAAATGAACCTTACACTTTTATCAACCTCTAGTAAATTTCTGACCAAGAATTCAAAGTGGTTTGATGGATAACTATAATGTATTATGAAATACATAAATATAATATGTTCTTAATTTAGATATTAAATCAACCTCTAGTAAATTTCTGACCAAGAATTTAAAGTGGTTTGATGGATAACTATAATATATTATGAAATACATAAATATAATGTGTTCTTAATTTAGATATTAAATGTTAAGCACTAAAATAAAGGAAGGCCTGTAAGTCCTTGGTATACACATATGTCTCATTAATCTGTAGAAATCTATATAGGGACAAGAAGTGACACACATAAAGACTTTTTTGTCTTTTTTTATCTTTTTTTTTCCCTGAGTAACCAGGAGAATTTGCCTCATTTAGGATTTAATTTAAAATTTCATTGTTGCCTGTTGCCAAAAGGGTTCTCTTAGAGTTTTATAACTTTAGAATTCATCTACTAACAAAACTATCCTGCTTAAAGCCTGGAATGTCCTTCCTTCTTCTTTCTTCCAAATCTCTTTACTATAGCCAAGTCAGTTCACTGCATTTATAGCAAATAATTTTTCTGTCAGTCTCACTATATTGGTTGTAGAACTAGAATATAATTCCAATAGAAGTGATTCATTGATTCTTCTGTATGATGCCATCACCTGTGGTCAGGTATAAGCCAAGAACTTCAAACTAATTTAAGATGCTAATATCTTTTTCATAACCAATACAATAAAACTTTTGTGCTAACAGTGACTTTCATGTAGAACTTCATAAATAAAAGTCATACCCTTTTGACATTGTAACAAACTATGAACAGAGAAATATTTGAATTCCTATGTGTCACCACCAAAGTGAAAGATCAGTTTTGACTACGTCGTAGGACCTTTGACGTATAGTGAGAAGGGGCCTTGGAGGCCATCGAAACCAAACCACTCTTCTTTATACAGATACAAAGCTGAAGTCTGGGGATTTTAGATGATGTGTCCATACAGGTAGTGAGCAGAGGGTAAGGAGAGAGAAGGAATACTGTGTTTGGGGGATGGGACTTATTTCTTGTTGAAGATATTGCTATGGATATACTTGGCTCTCTATGGTAAGTTACATCTTTCTACTTCATTAAAGGTAGTTGGGTTAAAAATGCTAATGTATTAGCTAGACCAGGATATGTCTATATTAAATGATCATAAGTTGAGAGGTGAAAGGGACCTCAGAAGTGAATTGATGCATGTTCTACAAAAATATACACATTTTTATGCAATATATATATGTGTGTGAACTTCCTAACAGTCTTATGCTTCTAAATACAATACATGGAACTGCCCAAGTTTCATTTTCCTTAATTAAATGTTATTTTTCTTCTATACATCATAGTGGTAGGATTCAGGATTATATTTTGTGATTATTATCATTACTTTGTGCCATCATATCAAGCAGCATTGTTGTGCTTGATTTTTAAAAAAGTTATCGAATTAGTCAAAGCCCAACCTCAGAACTGACTCTCTGGTTGCAATGTCTTTTGAGCTAGAAGCTTGAGGTAAACTATTATTGCAATATTCACCATGCTCATTTTAATTCAGTAGACATTTATTAAGTGACTATTATGTCCAAAACAGATGCAGCTTGGTGTAGTGAAAAGTTTTTAGTCCTGCTTCCTGTCCATACTATCTGTGTGACTATGGACAAGACATTTAAACTCTTAGTGCCCTCAGCAACTCTTTAAAACTTCAAATTACAGAAGAATTATTTTTGGTAAGAGTTTCCTCAACTAATAAAATCACAATTCTGATTTTTAAAATGTGGACAATCCTAAGAAAACAAAGAAATAGCGTATTCTCTAAAGGCAGGAGATACATCATTTGAAAATACAAATAACCACAATATAACTTTAGGAGGAAGAATGCATTAATAACAGGAGAATATCAGATGGCACTTAAGTTGTAATTGAAGGAAGCCAAATATTCTAAGTTTGTCATACTTAACCTTGGAAATTGTTTAACTTATAGGTTTATATTTTAAGAATTACATTTGACTCTAGTTAATTTTTTAAGAATTCACTTCCCTGTAAAGCAAAACTAAAACAAGTTGATTTTACTGAGTAATAATAAAACTTGCCTCATTTTCACTCTACTACTCCAATGTATCTGTGATTTCATTTTCAGATTCCCTTCATTGATACATATTGTGACCTATTCATGTTTGCCCATCCTGTGCAACTCTTATCTATATCCTACCATAGGTTCACAATAGGATTTCCACTCAGTGTTCTGGAACCCTTCATTAAGTCCATTCTTTTGACTTCTTGTAGATGTTACTCTGTCATTCATAAGTAACACTCCTTCCAGGATATACTCCCAGCCCACAAAGGTTAAGTCCCAAGAGGATGGTTGCTAACTCGTTTTCTAGAGGTAGCCCTCTCGTAATCAGTTGCATCTACTGTAATTTATAAGCCCCCATGAGTGTGTTTCCAATTAATAATCAGCCAATACACTCAGCTCTTTTCAGAGACATTTAATCAAATGATATGGCAAGAACCATTATGACAAAAGCTTCTCTGCATGCACCTGCAGCTCAGTCTTCTATAGTTACCCCTAGTATTCTTGGGAAGATCGGGCCCAAACAAGTATAATGGCAATGAGGAACATATATAGGATATACAAAATAACTCACACTTTCTGACACTTCTCTTTATAAAGTCCATATGTGGGGTTTTCAGCTTCTTTTCTTCCCCACACTTGATTCATAGTCTCAGGGGGTCATCCATCTTAAAGCTACTGCCTCCATTAGGCAACGGTCTCTCTATGTACATCTGTCCAAGAGTGTGTGACTGTTTCTTTGGATACATTTGCTATGGTCTAGAGCAGAGGTTGGAATATTATGGCCCAAGGGCCAAATCTGGTCTGCTGCCTATTTTTGAACTGCCTATGAGCTAAGAATAGGGTTATTTTGTTTTTACATTTTATATAAAATAAAACATTCTTTAAAATACTAAAACCATAAGTAGCTCATTAGCCCATGCCCAAAAAAGCTAAGAGCCAGATTTGGTTTGAAAGTGATAATATGATGAACCCCCTCCTTCTAGTAGTTCCCCTCCAAATCTGATGTTGGGGTAAGAAAAGAGAAACATTCCTTTCTTCTCCCCAAGGGGGGTGTGTCTTCCAATGGCATCTCTGAGAGCACCTCATAGTTTAGCTATATAAAATATTTAGAGGTATACATAATTTACTTTCTTATTCAATTGTATAGTTCCTGTCTTGACTCAACTTGAGAGGTGTTTGTACCTGATAAAGGGATCAAGGCATAGACTCAGTCCTATAGTCATTATATACCCCCTTTGACATTGAATGTGGACCCCTCTCTCCTACACACGAAATTCCGAAAGAGTAAATGCCTTATCAGTCAGGTAATAAAAAACCAAAATATGGTGCATGAATTTAATAAAATATTGCTGTGCCATAAGAAACAAATATGTGAATACAGAATTA